CCAGAGACAGAGTGGGGAGTAGAACAGGCAGACAGACCAAAAGCACTGCTGAGGGGAGCAGTGGGAGAGGCAGGAGAGGTCTGCTTCACCATGTGGGATTCTCCCTGGCCGACCGGGAATCAAATGGTGTAAAGGCAGGAATGGACATGGTGCAGGTTTTCTAGGATCCAGCAGACCGGGTAAAGGAGGAGTCAGAGTCCTCAGTGGTTTTGCAAGTTTTTATTGGGATTACCAGGTACACAGCAGGCAGGAGTACTGGGGGGCTGAGGGGCTGGGAGGCCTCCCAGCCCCCAGTAGGTCTTCATTCTTTTGGGCTCTCTGGCCTTCTCTTGGCTTCTGCTTCAGCTTCTATTGGCGTCCCCGTGACGCCACCCTTAAAAGCACAGTCTTAACCCAGGTGAATCCCATCTACCTAGGCCCACACCCCATTCCAGATGCCCGCCATCAGGCATGCATTCAGGACGGCAAGGATCCATCATCTATCCTGATGGCGGGAGGGCAGAAAAGCCTGACATTTTTCCTTACCCTACAAATGGGTACTGCGGAGTCTGTGGATAGCTTCACAGCGCTGCACTCAACCTGCTGTGCCACCGGGGAGGCCCATATCTTAAAGTAGTTTTATTTTCCATTTCATTAATTATCATACTGTAAGGGCAGGACTGGACACAGTGCAGGTTTTCTGATCCCATGGAGACCGGGTAAAGGAGGAGTCAGAGTCCTCAGTGGTTTTGCAGGTCTTTTATTTGGGGTTCACCAGGCATATGGCAGGCAGGGGTGCTGGCTGGGGGGCTGGGAGGCTGGCAGGCCTCCCAGCCCCCAGCAAGTCTTCACTATATCTGAGCTCTCTGGAGTTCGTTCTGCTGCTTCTCGGCTTCTCTTTCGGCTTCGGCTTCTACTACTGCTGCTGCTGCTGCTGCTGCTGCTGCTGCTGCTGGCGTCCCCGCGACGCCGCCCTTAAAAAAGCAGTCTTAACTCAACTGAATCCCATCTACCTATGCCCACACCCTACTCCAGGTGCCCACCATCAGGCATGCATTCAGGACAAGGATCCATCATCTATCCTGATGGAGGAAGGGCAGAAAAGCCTGACATCTTCCTTACCCTACACATACAAAAGAAAACAAACACTTTTCAGTAGTGATTTACTGAGAACTGGGTACCTGACTGAATTTGCCTTTTAGTTTTTATTTTAGGAATTAATGGTATTTGTTGCTAATCTTTTCACCCACCAGCTAGAGTTGTTATTTTAGCTTTATAGTTTCTTTTGTTACAAAGTTGATAAATTTTGTAATGAAATCTGGTTACTTTATCATGTCCATTTTTTTGCCCTGTAAGTTGCTATTTTTTCCTAAAGTATTTTAAATTACAGAAACCATATGTAATGGCAAGAATGGGCACAGTGCAGGTTTTCTGACCCAGCAGATGGGGTAAAGGAGGAGTCCTGGGGCCCTCAGTGGCTTTTCAGGCTTTTATTGGTATTTACCAGGCACACAGTAGGCAGGGGTGCTGGGGCAGGCCTCCCAGCCCCCAGCAAGTCTTCACTCTGTCTGGGCGTCCTCTCTGCTTCTCTCGTGGTTCTCCGGTGGTTCTGCTCCTTCTGGTAGTTCTGTTCTCTCAGCCCAGGTTAATCCCATCTACGCATGCCCACACCCTACTCCAGGTATCCTCCATCAGGTATGTATTCAGGACCGCAAGGATCCATCATCAATCCTAATGGCGGGAGGGCAGAAAAGCATGATGCTTTTTCACTTACCCTCCACCATAATACTGTATCATTAGCACTTTCATATGCTTTTCAAAAAAGGATCATTTTCTTACATAGTAAAATATCACATCTAATATAATGAAATTAATAATTCTTATTTAACATTTGATTTTCAGTCTTCATTCAAATTTTCCCACATTTCCCCTATAGTCCTTTAATATTTTTATGTCCAAACCAGAATGCAGGGTTGCATCTGGGTGGCATATAACTCAAATCTCTTTAATTTTGTAATAGTCCTTTCTAAAAATAAAAATGTTTAAAAATCTACAACAGCCCTTGTTTTAACGACACATCTCCCGGGAGTGTGGCCAGGTGTCATGGAGCACAGCCCACCTTCTGGATTTGCCTTTTCCACACTGGCATTTTTTTTTTTTTATAAAAAAATTTTCCATTATTATTATTTTTTAATTTTATATATTTTTACATCATTTTTCATTTTTGCACAATGTATGCATTTTCATCTTGGTTATAGTCCCCATACAACTCCCCCCCCCCTTGTTTTGATCCTACTCCCTCCTCTTCCCTGTAGTGTGTCTCTGGTTTATAGTGTGTTTCTGGCTTATTTCGCTGAGCATGATCCCTTCCAGCTCCATCCATGGTGCTGCAAATTGCATGAGTTTATCTTTTTTGAATGCTGAGTAATATTCCATTGTGTATATGTACCACATCTTCTTGACCCAGTCATCTATTTTTGGGCATTTGGGTTGTTTCCATAGCTTAGCTATTGTACATAGTGCTGCTATAAACATAGAGGTGCTGGTGCCCCTTTGAATGAATGTTTCTGTGTCCATTGGGTAAATACCTGGGAGTGGAATTGCTGAATCATATGGAAGCTCCATCTTTAGCAGGTTGAGGAATCGCCACACAGCTCTCCATAGTCCACACTGGCATTGTTATTAGTTTAACCATTAACTCCTGTGACCTAAAGTTAAATTTAAAGTTGTGATTAGATGTAAGGTAAGCTTTAAAGAAACAGCATAAAAGGTTGGGTTATTTCATCTTAAAATTACAGCAGGACACACGTAATGTCTGATTGTCACCGTCATTACTAATTTCTGTTACCATGAGTCATGAAATTCTCCTTTCTGGGGGAGCAATTACATTTCTAGTCTTTCCTTATATTACTTTCAGAAATATCTAGGTCTTTATCTTCCTGGAATTTCGAGTTGAAAGTAAAAGATAGATGGCCTTTTTCCCTCTTAAGATATCCAAGTATCCAAGCATTTATTTAAAAGATGATTGTGGGGCCTCCCCAGTGGCGCAGCGGTTGAGTGCTGGATTGCAAAGCTGCCCGCAGCCTCCGCAGCGCCCGTTTGATCCCGCCCCCCCCCCCCCCCCCCCCCCCCCGCTGCTCCCCGGCAACTGGAGGAGGGTCCCGCGTGGTGCGCAGACCAGACCTCTCCTGCCGCCCGCTGCTTCCCTCAGCAGTGTACCTCGGTCCTTCTGCCAGCTCTGCTCCCCGCTCTGGCTCTGGCCAGAGCGCTTCTGACTGTACCCAGTGCTTGTATAAATAAATAAAAATAAATCTTTAACAAAAAAAAAAGATGATTGTGGAACAAAAATGGTATTGATGGTTTACATTTGTCAAAACTCATGGACCTGTACCCTGAAAAAAGGTGAATTGTATATCAATTATGCTTCAATAAACCTGATTTTTTTTAAAATGGGCTGTTTTGCAACCAGCCCAGGCCGGGTAAGTTCATTGTTGTTTCTAGCAATTTGAAGGAGAATTTTGAAACTCTTGGCATCATTTTCACAGGTTTCACTTAAGCAGAGGAAACAAGACATCAGGAAACAAGACATCAACTTGAGCCACGAAAATCTCTATAACCTTTTTTTGCTGGGCTTCCTCTGGCGTTCTCTCATTGTCGCTTCTCATCGCTGTTACACCTGAGCCATCTCTGAGCAATTATATCCCTGATGTAATTATATCTCACCCATATAGCCCTGACCTCTAGGCACAGGTGTGCACACTTGCACATGCATGCACTCCCATGTTCAGGTGCCCCATAACTACTCACCCTCTACATTAATAAGATCAAGGCGCAGGTGATAGCCAGAGAGGCCAATGGTGTAAAAGCCTGACCAACTTCATTTACCCTACATGGGCTTTAATATTTCCCTATTGTTTCATTGCATTTTTCTTGTCACATAGGCATTACTTTATAATGACAATCTGTTTTGTTGCAGTGGCAATTTAAAATGTGTATGGTAACAACTGATGCTTTCTTGTTTTCTTAGTGGAATACCACTTGATGCGACGTGGTATAGGAGATGGGCCTTTCCCATTTGCATCCTTTCACATATGAATTTTTTTAGTTTGTGTAAATTATTGTCTCGAGATGTATTGGATAGTATTTCCTATTTTTTATTTTAATGTTTCATTATTGTTTTTGTAATTTTTCATATGGGTCCTTGCATGTGAAATTCTTCCATTCAGTTGGTTCCAAAAAGCAATACTCTGTCATTTTTGAGAAAGGTAATTTTTCCCCTTACTTTAATTTGTTCTGATATTCAAGCAGCTATACATACTGAATGTGTACAACTTGACTATATAAGCACGTTCTTCATTCTGCAGATAAGTACACACCTGTGAAACTATAACCACAATCCGAATCATTAGCATATCTGTAGGGTAAAGAAAATGTCAGGCTTTTCTGCCCTTCCTCCATCAGGATAGATGATGGATCCTTGTCCTGAATGCATGCCTGATGGCGGGCACCTGGAATAGGGTGTGGGCATAGGTAGATGGGATTCAGCTGAGCTAAGACTGTGCTTTTTAAGGGCGGCGTCACGGGGACGCCAGCAGCAGCAGTAGAAGCCGAAGCCGAAAGACAAGCCGAAAGACAAGCCGAAAGACAAACCGAAAGACAAGCCGAAAGACAAGCCGAGAAGCAGCAGAACGAACTCCAGAGAGCTCAGATAGAGTGAAGACTTGCTGGGGGCTGGGAGGCCTGCCAGCCTCCCAGTCCCCCAGCCAGCACCCCTGCCTGCCAAATGCCTGGTGAACCCCAATAAAAAACCTGCAAAACCACTGAGGACTCTAACTCCTCCTTTACCCGGTCTGCATGGGATCAGAAGACCTGCTCAGTGCCCGGTCCTGCCTTTACAATATCCTTCACCTCCAAAGTTTCCCCCATCCTACTTATTTACTTAATATTTTTCATTTTCTATCTTTTGGTTTAAAGTATCACATAAACTTTCCTGTTGCTACTTTTTAATTTTTTAAATTAGTTTGTTTTTTTAAATTGAAGTAATGTTGCAGTGTAACAATTGTTTTAGGTTTGCATCATTAAAAATTGGCAGGTATATATACTGTATTAAGTTCAGCACTTTAACTCCAATTTTGTCCTTCACTATACAATTGATCCCTTATACCAAATTTACCCACACCCAGTTCCCCTTCCCTTCTGGTAATTACTAATTGGTCTTTTAGTCTTAATGTTTGTTTTATTTAATTTATTCATTTTTTCTTCATATTTCATATAAGTAACATCATACAGTGTCTTTCTTCATCTGGCTTCCCTTAGCAGGATAACCTCTACGTCCATCCATGTTGTTGAACATGGCAGGGTTGTTTTTAATACTACTTGTATTTTTGACATATCTGCTGTCTTGTTCTGGCTAATGCCTCCAGATGTTTTCTTTCGGCTGGGACTGATGAACTGTTTTTCCAGGAATGGAGGACTTTTGCTTTCCACAATGGACACTACCTGGAGGGATTCGTTTTCTTTCAGACTGGAACCCTGGAAAATTTTCATCTGAAACTGTATCCCAACATACATATGTTTGATCTTCATCACCATGGAAATGGTGGCAAAAAGTGAAAGGGGGGAATTGTTAGGGGGAATGCTGCACCCCCCCCTGCAGTGACCCTCAGGGCTAATGGCTGTTGCCATGGTCCCTGAGGTCCGGCGTGGGCAAGGAACCATGCGCGCAGGGGGAGAACAGCAAACTCCCTAAGATGCAGAGAAACTGAATGCCTGCCAAGAAATAATGACCATCAAAAGCGGCCACAAAGATGATTAAAAGAAATGCTGACCACCTGGAACCTTATCTCGCTTTCTCAAGGCCCACAAACTTTATTCTGCTACAACTGTCTTTCTAAAATCTTTCCTTTTTCTGGTCATTGATTGCTAATTAAAAAACATATGTAATTTAATAATTAGGCTAATGCAAATGAAACATTACTAAACACTGTGCTATAATAGAATTGTTAGTTTAATAATCTTTCTATTATGTGCTTAACTTTAGTACCTTTGATATTAACTGCATTATAAAATAAATTCACCCATGACAATTAATTATGAGTAAAAATGATAGTTAGTGCAACTAGAAAATAATTATATAGAACAGTAGAAAGAATTTATAGCCTGTCCAATTAGGAATGAGGCTAGGTCCAGATGTAACTTCGGACATAAATCACTGCCCTGTCAATTAAGCTAAGTCTATGAGCAAACTGATCTCTTTGATGTTCACTGTTCCTATGCCTTTAGAAAAACATATATATACTGACCACTAGCTTAATAAAGACGCACTCAGATTTTCACTCTCTTGAAGTGTGTCTGTGTGTCATTTATTCATCGAATCCCTGACCACCCTGCGCAATCTCTCAACCCTGAGACGGCCTCATCGTCCATCGCTGTGCTCGTCTGCGGCAGGGGAAAGGATGTCCTGAGATAATCTCATACAGGCTTTGTGGACTCCACCCCCACTCCAGACTAAAGCCATCAGGACATTGGGAAAGACAAATCCCATCACCACCAAGGGGAGGGTGGCTGGGACCTGAGGGTGGAGTTGGGCAGCCAGGTTGGCTATAAAAACCAAACACGTGGGCCTTGCTCTCTCTGTGGCTCGCTATTGCTCGCCTCCTGGCTTCACTGCTCCTGGCTGGCGGCCAACTCTGAGAGCGCCATTTTGGGATTCCTGATCGGCGGATCGGGTAGGACTCATTTAAAACTTTGTCTCCCACTTTTCTCCCAGAGCTGTACATTTCCTGATTTCCCCTTCCCTTGTAAATAAACCTTTTATTAACCTTTCACGTGTGCCTGCAGTAGAGCATTGATAAGTCCTTTTAAGCGCGCGGGTGAGGACCCACAGTCAGGCACCCCGTTTTGTATCGGGGTTGCTCTACAACAGTTGTAGTATTCCATTACATATTTTCAATTTTATCTTTTGTTACAAGATTTACTATCAACAAATTTTAAAATAAACAATATAGTATTATTACAGGAATTATGATGTACACATCTCTAGGACTTATTCATTTTGTGTCGCTTATCTTTCTTTTACTTTAAAGATGTCTAGTCTATTTCTACCTGTGGCAGTACTTGACTGGACTTCCCTCACTTATTTGCATAACTTTATGGTTTCTAGCAGCAATGGTATAAGGTCAGGAACAGGACACAGTGCAGGTTCTCTGATCCCATGCAGACGGGGTGAAGGAGGAGTCAAGAGTCCTCAGTGGTTTTGCAGGTTTTTATTGGGGTTCAGCGGGTACGTGGCAGTCAGGGGTGCTGGGGGGGGGCCAAGAGGTTGGCAGTCCTCCAAGCCCCCAGCAAATCTGTACTCTCTCTGGGCTCTCTGTCATTCTCTGCTTCTGCTGGCGTCCCAGTGACACCGCCCTTAAAAGCACAGTCTTAGACCAGGTGAATCCCATCTACCTAGGCCCACACCCTATTCCAGGTGCCCACCATCAGGCATGCATTCAGGACCGCAAGGATCCATCATCTATCCTGATGGCAGGAGGGCAGAAAAGCCTGACATTTTTCCTTACCCTACAAATGGCTTTGGGTCTACAACAGTAGTTCACAAACTTTTGGCTTTAAACACCTCTGTATAGTGTTAAAAATGACTGATGACTCAAAAGAGCTTTCATGTGAGTTACATCAACATTTACTCAATCAGCAGTTCCTATTTAGGGTTTTTTTTTTTTAAGGCACAAGACTATATAAGCATGCTCTTCACCATTGCCATAGCATCCCCACACGTCATGTGACTACTGGAAAATACTGTACATCAGGGAACGCACTGAGAATGAAACAAGCAAATAACATGTTACTATTGCTAGGAAAATAGTTTTGACATTGGCGGACACCCCCCACCCCCAGCCCGCCTCTCCGCGTAGCAGGAGCCCAGGGTTCGCAGGTGTGGCACCGCGGCTCCTCAAGCCTTCCTCCTCCCTCCCAGCTAATTGCTCCCCGAGCTGCCCCGCCCCCAGCAAGGAGCCGGAAGTCCGCAGCCTGCAGCCAATAGCCCCAGACCCGCAGCCCCCGTGGGCGGTACTACGGTCGGACACTGCGCGCACCGCGCGGGCCTCCGACTTCCCGGCGTACCCCGGGCCTGCGGCGTGGGCGCGCACATGACGTAAAACTCACGTGACTCCGCGGCGACGGCGGTGGCGGAGGCGGGAATCGGCGCCAGCGGTCAGTCGCGGCGTCTGGCGGGCTGTGCGCTGCCTTCCGCGGGCAACCCCGAGCTGGCCCTCCCACCCCCGCTCTCGCCAGTGAGCCGGGAAGGAAGCCCGTGTGGGAGAAAGGGGACCGTCCCGAACTTTCGCCCTCACCTGGACCCTCCAGACCCCGAGACGCGCGAGTTCGGGCGGCCCGCGCTTTGCCCCGCTCGGGTCTCACGGCCCAACTTTGGTGCGCCCCGAGCTCCAGACCCCTGATGTTGAGATAAGAAACGTTTGCAAACATGTCCCGGATCGAAAAGATGAGCATTCTGGGCGTGCGGAGTTTTGGAATAGAGGACAAAGATAAGCAAATTATCACTTTCTTCAGCCCCCTCACAATTTTGGTTGGACCCAATGGGGCTGGGAAGACGGTAAGTCCTGAGCAGCTGCCTCTAGTTAACAGTGCTCACGTGTTTCGAATCTGGAGAATAAAATATCTGGAGTTTAGGGCTCATTGGATGAGAAGAGTTCTCATGGCTTCACTTTTGGGGCTCTGGGAAGTGCCTGAGCCTCGGTGATACTCCGGCCCGACAGGGGGGGAGTGACCTGGCGTGGCCTTAAGGCCACAGCATCGTTGGGAGTGGGTGAGACCCAGCTCCTCAGCGTGGGGGTTCTGTGCTGGCGACCGACGCCGACTTCACCGCGGGTGCCCTGCTAGTCATTTAATAGGAAGTCTTTGGTCTGCATAGACCCTCCCTCCTCCCCAGCCCCCACTCCTCATTCTCCAAGCATAAACTCCTCATAGTTGCCCCCTACTGGAATTTATTAAAAAGCTATAAAAGATGGCACGTTTATCTAAAAAGTTTCTAAGTATGCCGACTGTCTAAACATAATAGGAAATAAATGCCTTAACTTAAAAATGACAAGTGGTGGGACTTAATTTGCTGTAGGATGCTCTTACCCAATCAAAATAGAAAATTGGGTTACAGCCTATTTACTGTGGCTTTTTAAAGCCCTGGTTGCTTACCATTCTACCTTGGGCCCTGGAATGGCAAGAGTTACTGGAATGTGCGAACCCAAGAGACTACCTGGTGTGGAGAGCCACTTGAGAAAAAGCAAAGGTGTTACGTTTTAACAGGGAGGAGTCTTAATGAGGGATTTGTGAAAAGCTTGTAAATGAGCATGGGCATAGGCATAGGTTTAGTGTAAAGAGTTAAATTCCAGGGCCTCCCCGGTGGCGCAGCGGTTGAGCGCAGGGTTGCGAGGCTGCCCGCGGCTGAGGGTCCCACATGGTGCGCAGACCTCTCCTGCCGCCCGCTGTTCCCCTCAGCAGTGTACTTCGGTCCTTCTGCCTGCTCTGCTCCCCGCTCTGGCTCTGGTGAATTCTCTCACCCTACCGCGCTTCTGACTGTGCTTGTATAAATAAACAAACAAATAAATAAATAAATCTTAAAAAAAATTTAAATTCCAGGCTTTTGTCTACTTCTATATATGTAAAAATGGTATTTACTAAATGCTTGTATCTCATATCGTACTAAGCGCTCTATTAGAAGAGTCTAGTTATAGCATTTGAACGTTGGCTGCCGAAGCCAAAAAAATTACAGGTGTGATGCTTCACCACTATCCGTGTGTGGCAAGGGTCACTTAAAACTCAGTACATTCTTATAAAGTGGAGATAAAAAATAGCTATTACCTCCTAGGATTAATGTTTGAAATAGATCCTCAATGTATGTAAACGTAGTAAAATACCTGGCACGTAGTAAGGTCTGTGTAATTGTTAACTTTATTTTTAAAACTTTTTTTTTAATTTCAACTTTATTGAACTATAAATGACACAAAATTGAAAGGTATTTTAACTGTACTGTGGCGGTTTGATACAGTATGCCTTGTGAAAGAAATTTCTCTTAGTTAATTGACATGTATATCCACATTTATATTTTCTTTGGTGAGAACACTTAAGTTGTACTCTCAGCAAATTTCAGTGACACAATATGCTGTTAACTATGGTAACTATGTTTTACATTAATAACGAATTAATTTAAAGGATTTGATTGGAAAGTTTTCCCCAAATAATGATTTTATTTTAGTATACCTTCATCATTAACTTTTAAAATTATAGCAATTATTCTTTTACATCTAATATCTATAGTACAGGTCATATCTTTTATAGTCTATAATAAATAATATTTTTATAGTGATTAACTTTTGTGATCACCTTAGGAGGTTCTCTTATAACTAAATAATACAGTTTTTTATTTCTTTAGACCATCATTGAATGTCTGAAATACATTTGTACTGGAGATTTCCCTCCTGGAACCAAAGGAAATACATTTGTTCATGATCCCAAGGTAATGAATGGTCTGGTAATAGTTTTTTTTTTTTTTTTTTAAATAAAAATTTAATAAAGAAGTGATAATTTTTAAAAATTTGTTATTGGGGTCTCTCTGGTGGCACGAGGGGTTAAACACAGCACTGTGAAGCCATCTGCAGTGAGTTTGATCCTTGCTGGCTAGGGAGCTACCCACATGGCGCAGCAGACCTCTGCTGCTTCCCTCAGCAGTATATTTCAGTCTGCCTATTCTGTTACCCACTCTGTCTCTGATGAATCCTCTCTCTCCTCCCTCCCTCCCCCCACCCCTGCACCTATGGTCTGTACCCCAGTTCTTGTATGCATAAATAAAATCTTTAAAAAAAAATTGTTATTGAGGTAACATTGGTTTACATCATTGTTTATATTTTGGAAGTACAGGATTCCCTGCCTCCCTTCAGTTGTTACCATAGCACACCAGAGACCAAAGCCCCATAATCCACCACCATAGTCCATTGTACTCTCTTCTCCCACTTTGTTTGATCTCCTCCTCCCTTCCCCTAATGGCTCAGTACTATAGTCAGTTTTCATGGGTTAGTTTTTGAGTTTGGCTTTATCAGACCCTTTGTTTTGTTTTTCAGTATTCCACATATAAGTGATAACCATCTGGCATTTATCTTTCTCCTTCTGACTTACTCTGATTAGCACAGTCCCTTCCATGTTGCTGCAAATGGCTTGGGTTTATCTTTTTCATTGCTAAGGAGTATTCTATTTCATATATATACCATATCTTCTTAATCCACTCATCAGATTTTGGGCATTTAGGTTGTTTCCATAGCTTGGCTATTGTAAATAGTGCTGCAGTGAACATGGGAGGCAAGTTTCCCATTGAATTAGTATTTTTGTATTTAGAAGTGGTTGCTTATTATAGAATACCTGATAAGAAGTATAAAGAGACAAGAAAGTCACCTACACAGAATCTGGTGACAACCTTTGTTGACATTTTTATGTATTCTCCTTTACATACTTTTTTTTTTTAAAGATTTATTTATTTTTGCATATAAGTGCTGGGGTACAGGCCAGAGGTGTGGGGGATGAGAGGATTCACCAGAGATAGAGTGGGGAACAGAACAGGCAGATTGACCGAAGTACACTGCTGAGGGGAGCAGCAGGTGAGTCAGGAGCGGTCTGCTGTGCTATGTGGGTAGCTCCCTGGCCGAGGACCGAACTCTTGTTTCAGAGGCTGCGGACAGCTTCATAGGTTGTGTCTTAACCCCTTGCACCACCAGGGAGGCCCTACATACTTTTTTATATAGTTGAAATTACCCTCTAATTTTGTGTTCTGAGTTTTTTCTCCCACAATATAAAGTTCTGTGTCATTAAAAAATTAAAAGCTAAATTAAATTCTTAATATGGGTGTTTGGTACATGGGTGTTTCTTTTAATATTTTTATTCTTATAATTATATTTTTTGTTTACCTAAAATATTTCCTATTTATAACATACAACCTTTTATGAATACTTTAGATAGTTGCATAATGTTCTTTCTTTAGATTGTGTTTAGTTTTTTTATTAAAATGTACCATGATGAAAATCTATGTATAAATCTTGGTTCAAATTTTGATGTTTATTATGTTAGTGTATGTGTATGACATGGAATTTCCTATACATATATATTTTTTTAATTTAAGGTTTTTCTTATTTATACAATAGCTGGGGTACAAGCCACAGGAGTGGGAAGGTGAGAGGATTCACCAGAGTGGGGAGCAGAACAGGCAGACAGACTGAAAGCATTGCTGAGGGGAGCAGCCGGCTAGATAGGAGAGGTCTGCTTTGCCATGTGGGAATCTCCCTGGCCAGCCGGGAATCGAACCTATGCTGCAGAGGCTGCTGACAGCTTCACAGAGCTTCACTCAACCCGTTGTGCCACCTGGGAAGCCCCCTATATATATTTTTTTTGAACTACAGGTTTTTCTTGTTTCATTTATATATTAGTGGATCACATGGCTTTCTCACTACCTGCCACCTTCCTATGTTAAGAGTTCATTATATAGTTATTTCTTCCAGGCTTTTCCCTTTGTTTATAAGGACTTACTGGTATGCATGTGTAAAATACATTCACACACTTCCTTATATCCGTGTAAATCAAATATTTACTTAGTGACATAGTGCAGATGTGTTAGCATGATGGAATATTTATACATTCTATATAGAAATGTATGCACTTTTGCTGTTTTTAATCACTAAGTAGTTTTCATTCTGTTTGTATATATTTTTAATTAAGTTTTTTAACTAGTATCACTAAAATTTTTTTTTCCCACCACCGTATCTTGTGTTCCCTTGTCCTGTTCCTTCTCCCTTCCCTTTTAATTTCAGAGCCCTCAGGGTGTTTATTGGTGTTCACTGTTTATTTAAAGTTTTACATTATTGAATTGTCTGCTATGTAAATGCCAGTTTCTGTTTTTACTACTACGACTTCTTTTTCTTTTCCTTTTTTGTTTTATGATTTGATATTTGGAGCCCTTTTTTTTAACATTTATCATTTTATTTTATTTTTTAAATTTTTTATTTTTTTTAAGATTTATTTATTTATTTATACAAGCACTGGGTACAGTCAGAAGAGCGGGAGGGTGAGAGAACTCGCCAGAGCGGGGAGCAGAGCAGGCAGAAGGACCGAAGTACACTGCTGAGGGGAGCAGTGGGCGGCCGGAGAGGTCTGCGAGCCATGTGGGACCCTCCTCCAGGTTGCCGGGGAGCAGCCGGGAATCTAACCAGGGCTTCAGAGGCTGCGGGCAGCCTCGCAACCCAGCACTCAACTGCTGCGCCACCGTGGAGGCCCAACATTTATCATTTTAAAATTTTTTTTAGACAATATTTGCTTCCCCCCACCCCCTCACATTGAGTTCCCATAGAATCTCCTTCCCCAAGGCACCCGTGCACCATCACCACAGTCTCCTGTGCTCCTCCCTCCCTCCGACCCCTGTCTCTCCTCCTCCCCTGCAGTATGTCTCTGGTTTATAATTGTCTGTTTTTGCTTTGTTGTGTTTTGTACTATTATTATTTTTTTTTTAACACTGATGTCTTACTTGATTCCCCTATATTCCTGTTATAAGTGAAGCCATCCGATATTTTTCTTTTTCCTTCTGGCTTATTTCACTGAGCATAATTCCTTCTAGCTCCATCCACTAATGCAAATGGCATGAGTTTATCTTTTTTGATTGCTGAATAATAATCCATTGTCTATATATACCACATCTTCTTGGTCCAGTCATCTATTTTTGGGCATTTGAGTTGTTTCCAGGTATTACCTATTGTAAATAGTGCTGCAAGAAACATAGGTGTACAGGTGCTCTTTTGAATCACTGTGTGTCCTTTGGGTAGATCCCTAGGAGTGGAATTGCTGGATCGTATGGTAGCTCCATTTTTAGTAGATTGAGAAACCTGCAGATAGTTTTCCACAATGGTTGGACCAATTTGCACTCCCACCAGCAATGTAGGAGAGTTCCTTTTTCACCACATCCTCGCCAGCATTTGTTGTTGCTTGTTTTTTTGATATGTGCCATTCTTACTGGTGTAAGGTAGTATCTCAGTGTGGTTTTGATTTGCATTTCCCTGATTATAAGGGATGTTGAACATTTTTTCATATGCCTGTTGGCCATTTGCATTTCATCTTTGGAGAAATGTCTTTTGAGTTCTTCTGCCCATTTCTTGACTGAATTGTTTATTTTGTGTTTGTTGAGGTGTGAGTTCTTTGTAATCTTTGTGATCAGTCCCTTATCAGTTGAATGGAGTGCAAAGATTTTTTCCCAACCAGTGGGATGTGTCTCTGTTTTGGTTAATGTCTCTTTGGCTGTACAGAAGCTTTTCAGTTTGATGTAATCCCAGGTATTTATCTTTGCCTTCACTATCACTGCTTTGGGTGATGACTCTTTAAAGATGTTTCTGAGATGTATGTCTTGTAGTGTTTTACCTATATTTTCTTCTATATAGTTTATGGCTTCAGGTCTTATGTCCAGTTCTTTTATTCATTTTGAGTTGATTTTTGTGCACAGTGAGAGGTAGTGGTCTAGTTTCATTTTTTTTGCATGTGAAGGTCCAGTTTTCCCAGCACCATTTATTAAACAGACTATCCGTGTTCCATTGTGTATTCTTTGCTCCTTTGTCAAAGATTAGCTGTTCATATAAGTGTGGCTTTATTTCTGGGCTCTCTGTTTGGTTACTACTCCAACTTATTTGCTGCACATAATTTTCTCAAATTCTTCCATTTTGTTGAAAATGTGTTTCATTCTTTTCTATGCCTATGTAATACTTGATAGTGAAGATGTTACACATCTTCTTGATCCATTTATCTGTAGATGACCATTTAGGCTGCTAAATAATGCTGCTGTGAACATCGTAGATCATACAGGTTCCTTGTTGATGGCCCATCATTATTATTTTTAAAGATTTATTTATGCATACAAGAATTGGGGTATAGTCAGGGATCGGGGCACTTGAGAGGATTCACCAGAGACACAGTGGAGAGCAGAACAGGCAGATCCACTGAAATACACTGCTGAGGGGAGCAGCTGGCGAGACAGGAGAGGTCTGCTGTGCCATGTGGGTAGCTCTCTGGCCAGGGATGGAACTCATGCCACAGTGGCTGGCGATAGCTTGGTAGTGCTGATGCTTAACCCCTGCGCCACCAGGGAGGCCTCCATCATTATTGTTGATGGCTTGAGATTCTGTGAATATAAGCCCAAAAGTGGGATTGCTGGGTCATATGGTATTTCCATTTTTAGTTTTGTTAAGATAAATTCAGGTTGTGTCCATCATGATTACTCTGGTTTATGTGCCTACCAACTGTGTGATAGGATTCCTTCCCCCCCCCCCCCCAACATTTGTACTTGAGGGTCTTTTTAAATATGCTCATCTCAGAGTGTGAGATGTAGTTTCAGTTTGTATCTCCCTTTTTTTTTTTTTAATTTTTTTTTTAAAGATTTATTTAGAGGCGCAGGAGGGTGAGAGAATTCACCAGAGACAGAGCAGGGAGCAGAACAGG